GGTATTGCTGCACGTCGCTGCTCAGCGTGACTACAAGTTGCACTCTCTAGACTCCAGCACAGCTTTCCTGCAAGGCAGCCTGCACGAGGAGATCTGGTTGCGCCGCCCACCTGGTTTCACTGAGTCTTTTCCTGCAGGTACGTAGTGGAGTCTTCGGCGGCCAGTCTACGGTCTCCGCCAGGCGCCTCGCGAGTGGCACGACCAACTGAGGACTACTTTTGTGGCTCTTGGGTTTGCTCCTGCTACTGTTGACCCGTCGCTGTTTTTACGCACCGGCACCTCGCTGCCGCCGTTCTACGTCCTTGTCTACGTCGACGACCTCGTCTTTGCCACTGCTGACACTGAGGCACTGACTCTTGTGAAGTCGGAGCTGCAGAAGAGACACACCTGCACTGACCTGGGTTAGGTGCGCAGCTATCTTGGCTTGCAGATCACCCGGGACAGAGCTCGGCGCACCATTACCCTGACTCGGTCACACATGGTGCACCAGGTCCTTCAGCGCTTCGGCTTCCAGTTCTCCTCGCCACAGCCCACTCCTCTGTCTACCAGCCACTCGCTCTCAGCTCCACCTTCGGACGAGTCCGTAGAGCCGAGTGGTCCGTACCCAGAGCTTGTGGGTTGCCTCATGTACCTGATGACGTGCACTGGACCTGACCTCGCGTACCCTCGCAGCCTCCTGGCTCGCTACGTGGCTCTCGGCAGGCACCGAAAGGTGCACTGGGATGCTGCGAAGAGGGACTGCGTTACTTGTGCAGTACGTCGGGCATGGGGCTCGTGCTTGGAGGACGGGGTCCAGTTGTCCTCACCGGTCACGCAGACGCCTCCTGGGTTGACGACTCAGCTACGCAGCGGTTGTCATAGGGTTACACCTTCAGCCTCTGTTCCGGCTCTGTCTCTTGGCGGTCTACCCGCTCGTCTTCGGTTCTCAGCTCCAGTTGTGAGGCTGAGATCTACGCCGGGCCATGGCTGCTCAGGAGCTATGCTGGCTCACCGACCTGCTGACTGACTTGGGAGAGCAGCCTCGTTCGCCTCCAGTTCTGTACGTAGACAACAAGGCCATGATTGCCTTGTGTCAGGAGCACAGACTGGAGCACAGAACGAAGCACATTGCTCTACGATACTTCCTTGCTCGAGAGTTGCAGCATCGTGGCCAGCTTCGTCTTGCGTACGTGGCCACTCGGGCCAACACTGCTGATGTCTTCACCAAGGCACTTCCGCCTGGTAATCATCAGCGCTTTGTTACTATGTGAGGCGTTGTGCCTACTTTGCCTCACTTGCTTACTGCTTGACTCTGCTTGTACTGTGATCTATATATATACCTGCATGCTTGCACTTGCTAGGGTATGATCAATGTATTGTTTGTTCTCTTTATATTACTCTGCATGTGAACTGGCCTTGTGGCCCTTTCCTTGTGCTCGGACAATGTGGTGACTTTGTGATCCACCCTGAGCTTGCTTTGCTTTTCTTGACTGGTCTTCTGACCACTTGTCCTCCCCCACTTTGCCTATGGGGGTGTGTCAGAACATTATAGCTTATACATTTGTGGAGGCTGTAGTGGGGTAGCCCATAAGGGGTACAACCCAATCAGGGTTAGTGCCTGTACCCAAGTGTTTCATAGTTCATTCATTCTCGTTCGTTAATTTGACAGCAATGAGAGTGGTGGCGGGAGTTGGGGCTTCGGTGGCGGCGGTAGTGGCAGCGGTGGGGGTGCGGGTGGCGGTGGTGGCGGCAGTGGGAGTGGTGGCGGCAGTGGTGGCGGTCGGGGTGGAGCTGCTCAGAGGGGAGGTTATGGCGGTGGCTAGAGGCAGCAGCAGCAGCGTCCGAGCAAGACCCCTACGCCTTAGCAGCTTCGTGAGTAGTTTGCTCAGCGTGGGGCGTCTGGGGGTAGTGTTCGCTTCCCATATGTCATTTGCACACGTGACCGCGCTGGTCAGACATGCGGGAAGCTTCAGACTCAGCAGCGCTGCTTCTCCCGCCTTGATGACGCTTGGTGCGCAGAGTTTGGCGACGAGGCTGAGCGCCCCCGCTGGCTAGAGATGCTTAGGTCTGGAGTTGATATCTTTGCTCTTGACTATGATGCTATCCTTGCTGCCATGTATGCCTTGTCTGTTTGTGCTGATGGTGACTGTTACCTGTGTGTGCCGCCCGACCCAGGTATAGAGGCTGCTGCTCTAGGTGCTAGTGAGTCTGCTCTCCCTGGTACTGCACCTGCTGAGGCCTTGCACACCTTCACACTTGACTCAGGTGCTTCCCGCTGTTTCTTTCGCGACAGTACCACCCTCACTCCACTCCCTGCACCTGTTCCAGTCAGACTGGTTGAGCCCTCAGGGGGCCCAGTTCCTGCCCGTTCCTCCACTGTTCTCCCGTGTCCGGCGGTTCTGTCCGGATCACTCTCAGGTCTTCACCTCCCCTCGTTCTCTACGAACTTGGTGAGTACCGCTGCCCTCCAGGATGCGATGGTCACTACCACCACTCCTGGGGGGTTAGCGTGTGTCGATCTACACGTGTACCTGGACGGGCCGTCACCTGGCCACGTTCACTTGTCGGCCTGGGTCGAGTCTGTACACACTGACTACTAAGCCTCCTCAGGTAGCTGCGTCTGCTCAGGTGTCCGCGTCAGGTCCAGTAGCACCCCCTTGCTCGTGTCGCCTCCTATCGCACCAGACTCTCTCTCCTGTTGCACCACCGCCTTGGTCACCCCTCCCTGCCACGCCTTCGTGGCATGCACTCCCGCCTCCTTGTCTCTGGTCTTCCCAGGTCTCTGCCTCCCCTCCCGCCCTTGCCTGCCCCGCCCTGCCTTCCTTGCGTCGAGGGGCGGCAGCGCGCTGCTCCTCACTCCTCCTCGTTTCCCCCGACGACTGCTCCCCTGCAGACTCTCCACATGGACGTGTGGGGCCCAGCCCGTGTCAGTGGACAGGACCGCGAGCGCTACTTCCTGCTGGTTGTTGATGACTACACGCGTTACACCATGGTCTTCCCCTTGCGCAGCAAGGGTGAGGTCCCTGATGTCTTGATCCCTTCGATCCGTGCAATCCGTCTCCAGCTCTGTGAGCGGTTCCGTGAGGACCTTCCTGTCCTGCGTCTGCACTCTGACAGAGGTGGTGAGTTCTCCTCCGACCTCTTACGGGACTTTTGTCGTGGGGAGGACATTTTCCAGTCGTTTACACTTCCGGCCTTCATGCATAAAAATGGGGTTGGTGAGCGCCGCATTGGCTTAGTCATGGAGGTGGCTCGTACCTCCATGATCCATGCGACTGCTCCCCATTTTCTGTGGCCGTTTGCGGTCCGGTACGCTGCGGATCAGCTCAACCTCTGGCCCCATGTCTCCTTGCCGGAGACCTCGCCTACACTGCGTTGGATGGGGAAGGTTGGCGATGCGTCGGTGTTCCGGGTCTGGGGCTCTTGTGCCTTTGTCCGCGATACTTTCGCGGACAAGCTCTCCTCCTGTGCTATTCCCTGCGTCTTTCTTGGCTTTCCCCCTGACGCGCCTGGCTGGCAGTTTTACCACCCCACCTCGCGCCGTGTCCTCCCCTCTCAGGACGTCACGTTTGACGAATCGGTCACATTTTACCATCTCTTCCCCCACCGCACTGCCCCTCTCCCCCCCCCGTCGCTCTTCCTTGCTCCAGGTCCATCTCCGGTGGACCCCCTCCCCCCCCAGGGTCCTGCTCCCTCAGGTGTGTCTCAGGTAGACCCACTCCTCGGGACTGTGCCTGTCGATGTCGCTGTAGACTCAGGTGCTGCTATAGGTACAGCGTCTGGGGGTGCTGAGCCTGCGAGTGCGGAGCCTGGGGGTGCTAAGTCTGAGGGTGCGGAGTCTGGGGGTTCTGAGCCTGGGGGTGCGGAGCCTGGGGGTACTGAGCTTGGAGGGGGGGTAGTGTAGGGAATTTTCTCGCTATTCCTTACCGCGACCGTCCACATTGCGTACAGCAGCAGCCGTTGTTCGCCCGTTACTGCTAACGGGGCTTCACCAACTTCGCGCGCACTGTTTCACCAAACCTCGCACTGCTGGAGCAGCCGAGTCGGCCTACGCTTCGGGACTAGCCCGAACCTCGCACTAGCGTAGCACTAGCTAGCTCGCACACACCGCGTTACCGTTTGCACATTTTTTTCGCGTATAAGTATTCGCTCATGCCTTCGCTCATATTTTGTACTCATTGAACACTCTATTGCAATCCTCGATTCATTGCACCCGTAACACTTCGCATGTTATGTGCCCTGCTTGACCAGTTATGCAATAATAAGGGTTCGTCATGATTACATGCTAATTGTTCAACCATGAATGATTCAGCCTGGTGCGCTACGGTCTAAAACGGTGAAAACAACAGATTGTTCGCGAAACTCCTTGCAATGAACATGAATGATCACCTGCCCGAAGATAATGAAATTGTCTACAATAGAAGCTGATGCACGGTGTCGCAGGTGTTAGGCGTCCACATGCGTCCACTTGGCTGGTGCGGCCTCGCCGTTCTTTCCACCAAACCCAACACTTTGGCACAGCTGTACAGAATGAACCAATTTTGTCAGGTCAACCCGCCAATCAGGTAACCCTTTTGCTCTCAGGCCAAGATATGCATATTATGCCATTCTGGCTTTCGCGTAAATGTTGGCGAATCTAGTTACATACCTGACGACGAAGTCGCCTTCATCGATTTCTCTTCGCGCATGTAACAAGCAATGATACGGCTGTAAGCAGCATACTCTCACCGACCGCGCCCCGCCATGAGCAGACCGCGTCGCAATTGATGTCGCCTCAGGCGAATTGCGTGCGTGCGAGCTCCAGACAGCTCCACTAAGGAGTGAAGTGCGAAATTCTGTCATCCGCCTGTGCAAGCATGCATCTACAAAAGACACATACCAATTCTGTCAATCACAACTGGAAGCGTCTTTCCCTTCGTAGCGTACAATACCATCTTCATCGCTGCAGCCATTCTCAACTAACAAGCTATTTCCCTCATCAACAAACCGTACTGCATTACGAATTCTCGCCAACCATAGCCATGGCGATCTCGAACGCTGGTCTCCTCGTGCTCCTCGTGGCCGCAGCTACTGTCCTTCACGCCTCGGGACAGACAGAGCCGTTTCTCGTCACCAAGGCCCGTCAGACCCGCGCCGCCGCCATCAATGCCACCGCCGATTCCCAGAAAGCCGACGCGCTCGCTGCGCAGCGCGCCGAGGAGCTCCTCGCGGCGAACAAAACCCTCGCCGACGCGACGGCGACGTACAACGACGCGTTACCACTCGTGAATCGCCTCAAGACCATCCTCGCGACGAAACTCACGGCGAAGAACCAAACCGCTGCAGCGATCCCCGAAATTCAGGATAAGCTCGACGCTGCGTCGGCGATTTTGGAAAAAACCAAAGCATCAGGCACGAGCCTCGCGGACCTGAAAGCAGCCGTTGACGACGCGAAGAAACGCGTCGAGATGACGGCCCAGCAAGTTGACGGCCAGAAGGAAGAACTCTACGACGCGCAGTCGACCGCCTTGCAGGCAGCTAAGGATGCTGCTAACTCTAGTCTGTCGGGCACGGATGCTGCGGCTGCTCAAACCGCGGCGAACGACGCGAATGCGGCGCTGGCGCTTGCGCAGCAGATTCTGGATGACATGATCTCACAGGCGAATCGCGCAGAGCAGCTGGTGGCGAAGCGTCAGAATGCACTGGACAACCCCGACTCGGCGAATGCCGTGGTTGCGGCTCAGCAATCAGCGGTTGACGACGCGCAGGCAGCGCTGGATGCGGCGGTGAAGGCGGACACGGCGGTGGCGGCGGCGGTGATTAAGGCGACGAACGACGTGAGCGACGCGAACTCGTCGATTCCGATCAAATCCGCGGCGGTGTCGAATGCAAAGATCGCGCAGAGCAAGGCTGTTACACTGAAGGCGAGCGCAGATAGCGCTGCTGCGACGATGAAGTCCAAGATGACCACCGCTGTGTCTGCTGCTCAGTCTGCTGAGGCTGCTGCGAAGACTGCTGGTTACACGTGGAATTGGTAACTTCGGATGGAATCTGGTGCGGCTATTTCAAGGGGCCGAGTAAAATTGGAGCGATCGACCTTCGACGCACTGCAATGGAGGAGCTCCCTTTAATTGCATTGCATCCCAATAAATCTTTCACTCCAATCCTTCGTTTCATTGTTTTATTTGTCCAGAAGTTGTGTATGACCGCTTCATTGTTTAAACAAGCTTGTATCGTGCCATCAAGGAATCATATCTTCCTTCAATTATAACAAGCTTCTTTAGTTGTGCAGCTCTTCATGCTGCCTAAGCAAAACACTCTCAAAGGATGATCCCCAACCATAGGATAACCTCCATACCTCAAGCTGCCTTGTCAAGTTCCATTCCCAGTGAAGTCTTGTTGCACCTTCGACCTTACAGCTGGACAGAAGATCAAGGCACAGAATGCTGGCACCACATCTAGCAGACTATGGGAAAGGAACTACACAATGACTGCACTCTGAATTCCACAAATATTAGGACAATCCTTCTTGGTTTAGGGCGAGTTTTACATTCCCATTCCAAGCCAATCTGAAGCGAATTCTACTTTGCCACCACACAACCGAAGCATTTGAGCTCAGCTGGTTCTTATTATGGCTACACAAACTAACCTCATTTTATTGCGCCAGTTAGACTTTTTGTTACAGGCCAAGAATACACTCAGGTGCACTCCCATCTTTTGGTTGTGCCGATTTTGTGGTGAACCCCCTTCAGGCGAGGATGCAAAATCAGCAATCACCATTCGTGTTGCCACAAGTGTCTCCCTGGTCTGTTCAACTGTGCTGGTTTGATTCAGCTCAGGGAGGGAATTGGCAGACAGTTCTGCTTGATTTCATTGCAAGGCTTTCCAAAACGATACGCCAATCACAAACCTCGCTACAGCGCTGCCCTGTGGCCTCAGGTCAGGTCGGTTAGGTGTACAGTACTTTTGTGATTCATGTACACTACACTTGTTCACACAGAATTCCAGGTTCTTATCGTTTAGATATAGGGTTTCGGGTTGAGACGAGACGGCCTGCGTCATCGATGAATCTCGAGCTCGCCGCCATGGATTTCTTCAGGGTTTCCAACCCAGCATTTTGTGAAGCCTACGTGTCAGGTTATCTTGGAAACCACAGCTATGAACTTGCGTTGTCGCGACGAAGCGATCGATACACCTATTGTGTCCATCAGGCGGACATCGTATATTTAATTTCTCGGGATCTGCTGTTATGGTTTCAAGACTCAGCCAGTTCCAAGGCTTTACACACTGCTTTTTTTTAAGTTTATCCTGCATTACAGACTCCAGGCTGACGCGCAGATTCATGATTGGCTATCTACATTTCAACCATTCCTCAAGGTTCATGGATTTCATCCGTCCGTCTCTTCAGCGGAAACACAATATCTGTATCAGGAGCAGAAAGTCGCTGATGGCATTATGCAATCACTATTTACCGGTAAGATTGTGCTCAGACTCCCAGCTTTCCAGGCATCTCTGGCCTTCCTTTTACAACCTCTGCTGGTTTTCTGTCATCATCGCACGATGCCGCGTGCTCCGCCGAGGGAGAGAGTGCCTCTGACAAAGAAGCAGAGTGCTACCAATGTTGATAACCAATCTGACATCAAGGGGAAAGAGGTGGAAAACGAGGAGTCTGGTGAGGTGATTCACATGGAGGGGAGCAGCGCTGGCCTATCATTGGAAGAAAAGCTGGCTGCGCTTACCTCTACTCGCGTTGAAGAAGACGATTTCACAGACGACGACTCTGATGATGAGCTCGAATTCGATGTCACAAAGGACTTGGTCGCTAAGCAGCGGTTCACGGCTATCCTGCTGCTCCCCTTCATCCTGCAACATGCCATGGCTGCTGTTATTCTGACCGTGCGAATGTTGTTAAAGCGGGTTTGGTCCTCCTTACTCTCTGAGGGAGATAACACCCAAGTGGTTTTCAAGATCTGCTTCCAGCATACGTCGCAAAGACGAGATACAGTCGTCTGCAACTTTCTTTCATAAAAGAAGAGGACGCGACAAACGTGCGTTAGGCATCATTGGAATATCAGTGTGCTAACGGACCGTCACTCAAATTACACTGGCTGTACACTGAAAACGCTGCCTTCGTCAAGATGAAAACGACTAACCCGCGAGCTGTCGAAGTGGTTTTTAAGGGAGTACCTGCGAACATTACTCCTGAAGGGTTGGAAGAGATGCTGGTGAAACACAAGCTAAAGATTCGACAAGTTACCCCGTTCCTTGAAGGACACTGTTTCCACAAGGGTGATCCACCTGGTATCTGGAGCTGATACAGATGTGATTAAAGGGCTGGTGATTCCGCACCAGGAGGAGAAGAAACGTCGCTGGATTCATCAGATTAACCACCTCCTGGAGCATGGCAAGAAGCTCCTGGTCCACTACCCCGTGCTCTCCTGTCAGCTCTGTGGGGGATGGCATTATGACAAATATCATGATGACTTCATCGCAGAGCGATAGAATAACATAGGGAAGTGGAGCTTGAGTTTGAGCTGTGTGCATAGGATCAATGGTAACGGAGCGGCAGAAAATTCAGCAAACGTTCTTTTAATACCTCTCTCTATCAGTACCAACCCTCTGGTCACCTGTCGCAGCCGCGTCCCTGCTTGCCACGCGCCTGATTCGTCAGATTCTTCTGGACCCTGCGATTGTACTCATATCTACTGGAAGTGCCAAGGAGGAATGGATCTGCACGCAGCTGAGTTGCGGGAAGGCTCATGTGAAGCTGTTTGTCACTGCTGCAGAGCACATCACCTCTGCTCGTCATCTTCATGGTCAGGAGGAACTAGGCGTTGTCACGCGTGCAACCATGGAGAAAGCGAACCTGCACGCGATCCGCAAAGAGTATGGCCTTTAGCGTCTTCACTCCAGCTCTCGCCAGCAGTAGCAGTTGGCTCGATGATGGTTGCTGTACTCTGCTTTACCTGCCTGTGGATGCGTAGAGGAGATCAACCAGTGATTAAATGAATACACGGAACATTCTTTCGTTTGCGGGCCTGAATGTCAACGGCCTGGGAGATAACACAAAACAGAAACGCACGACGGACTGGACTTACAGTGATAAAGCCGCGGATGCATGATTCTCTCAGACACTAGGATAGCGTCGGACCACCCATACTGGACCACCCTTAAACTCTCATCCTTCTCAGCTGCCACTCCGGTTACCCCAGCTGGTGGTGTAGCAGTCCTTAGCCGCAGGCCAAACCTCACCTTTCATAACCCTCTAGCTCACCCTTCTGGAAGATTAGTACAAATTGAGATTCAATGCGCAAGCCTGACCTTGGCATTGATCGCGACTTACTTCCCTGCAGACAAATCCACGAGACGAGCGTTTATCAGGACAGTTCTAGGCCCGACGGTTGACCGAATCCCACCAGGTTCCAATCTGCTCATAATCGGTGACCTCAATATAGTAGAAAACCCGGTGCTTGATAAGATGTCGAAGCAGGGCTCGACAAAGGAGAATGACTTCCTGTATCATAGTTGGAAAGCTTTTGACATTGCTGATGCTTTTCGCGCTTTATATCCCTTTAAGCGAGAGTTTACCTTTTACGCGCAGGCGCACCAGGAGAGCACGCGGATCGATCGAGCACTGGTCTCTCGTTCCCTTCTCCCGCGCCTTGTCGTGGCCGCGCACGTCATGCCGGATGAACCAGTCTCAGATCACGGCTTTGCTGTCCGCGTGACTTTCAGAGTCAAATCTTAGATACAGACCGGTCCTGGCTTATGGCGCATGCACCCCTCTATGATGCACAGACCTGGGGTCCGGAAAATAACTAAGGAGGTGGAACGTCAGGTTGTGGAAAAGGGCGGCGGTTTTGAGGCACTCATATCTCGCTTGAACACTAGTCTCCGTGCGTACGCGAAGGAAGAAAGCAAGCGGATCAAAGCAACAATAAACCACCTCACATCGTGTGTTGCAGTGCTGAAACAAGCCTTCATGTGCAATCCCAAGGACCAGCTGTTAAAGGAGAAGCCAAGGAAGCGGGAATTGCAGTTAAAGGAATATCACGTATGCCGGAGAGAAAGGGCTCACCACATGGCCGGGATGGCGAAGGAGCTTGTCGGAGAAGTTCCCTCACCTCACCTGTCGGCGAGGATTAAAGTGCGGAGAGACAGGACACAGATAGCGGTGCTGGCAGTCCCGGGAGGAGTGGTTGCGGAGCCAAAGAAGATCATGGAAGTGGCGTCAGGTTGCTATCGGGATCTCTTCGGTGCTAACAAGAGAACGGCGGTCTCGGACTGGATTCCAGCGGCAGGGAGGAGGCTCTGGTACTCAGATGCGGAGTGCCTGCAAGTGGATTGGACAGAGGAAGAAGTGAAGCGAGCCCATAAGGAGATGGCCTGTAACAAAACTCCCGGAAAGGATGGCCTCCCGAAGGAGCTCTTTGAGCAGAACTGGGATGTGTTGGGGAAGCATCTCATGGAGCTGGTAAAGAGATTCACTGCCACGGCCACGCTCCCAACTAGCGTCAAGGACGCTGTAACCATTCTCCTGCACAAAAAAAGGGCGAAAGAGCAACTGGAGAATTATCGGCCGATAACCTTGCTGAACTTCAGCTACAAGGTGTTGGTGTGTGTTTTGGCGAGCAGAATCAAGAAAGTGCTGCATAAGGTAATTTCACCGGAGCAGTTCGGTTTCATACCTGGGAGGCGAGTCTCTGACGCGGTCGGGTTGGTAGCTGACGTTATTGATGCGGCCAAAAACAGCAAGGAAGATTGTGTCAGAATGTAATATTTGTCTAGCATGCAATGGGGTACTCAATAGCGAGTACAGCCCAATTTAGGGTTTGCTATATGTACTCAACTGCCTGCTAGTGAAACCCCTCTTCTCTGTTTCATTCATTCCTTCACTATTCTGACATGGTATTCTGAGCAGGTTCCCTAGTGGGAACGTTTTTTTTAGGGCCCACCGTTAGCTTCCGCTGCTCTCCTGCCTATCGCGCGCCTTGGGCGCGCAACGTTTGTCTGCCTGCAACGCGTTCATGGCGCGCGGCATTTTTTCTTCCCGCCGCGCGCCCCAAGCACGCGGCGGTTTTCTGCCCGTCGCGCCTCCCTGGTGGCCGCACGATGCCCTGCCCTGCCCGTCGTGCGCCCCGTGGCGCGCGACGGTGCCCTGCCCGTCGCGCGCGCCGAGGCGTGCGGCGGTTTCATCGCCCGCCGCGGCGCCCCGGAGGCCCACGCGTCACCCCCCCCCCCACCACCCCCCCTCCCCCCCCCCCCCCCGTCGTTCGTCACGGCACATTCGGGGGGCTCGAGCGCGGCCCCCCCCTCCCGTCGCCCGTCGTGGCGCCATCGGGGGCCCGCGCGGCCCCCACTTCCGTCGCCCGTCGTGGTGCCCGAGGGGGCCCGCGCGCGGCCCACTCCCGTCACCCGTCGTGGCGCCCTTGGGGGCCCGCGCGGCCCCCACTCCTGTCGCCCGTCAAGGCGCCCTCGGGGGGCCCGCGCACTGCCCCTCCTGCACCCCACGTGCCGCCCCTGCGGCCTGCGAGCCGCCCGTGCCGCCCCTTCGGCCTACGAGCCGCCCGTGCCGCCCCTTCGGCCTGCGAGCCGCCCGTGCCGCCAACAAGGCAATAATGGCCTTGTTGTCTACGTACAGAACTAGAGGCGAACGAGGCTGCTCTCCCAAGCCGGTCAGCAGGTAGGTGAGCCAGCGTAGCTCCTGAGCAGCCACGGCCCCGGCGTAGATCTCGGCCTCACAACTGGAGCTGAGAACCGAAGACGAGCGGGTAGACCGCCAAGAAACAAAGCCGGAACCAAGGCTGAAGCTGTAACCCTGTGACGTCCGCTGCGTAGCTGAGTCGTCAACCCAAGAGGCGTCAGCGT